AAAATGCATGTGGGTACTCAAATGAAAGCTTTTGATGAGTGTAACATCGAAATGAGCTTATATCTTTTAAAATATCATTAGTTGACAAGATACAATATCATTCCTTAACTATTGATTTTTTTAAAGATATAAGCTCATCTTAATGTTACATTCATCAAGAGCTTTCATTTGAGTACCCACATGCATTTTTCATATATTTTTCATACATACATATATATATATAAAATATATAAAAAATTGATGTGGGTACTCAAATGAAAGGTCACGATGAGTGTAATGTCAGGGTGAGCTTATATTTTAAAAATTGTCAATAGTTTACAAGATACAAGGTCATTTCTTAATTATGTATCTAGAGATAGAGCATTTTTGAATGCAGCCTAAATATTGATCATCATAAATTGACTATTGGTATATTATATATTTAAAAAATTCCAATTTCAGTCATAAAAATTTCAACTACTGTAAATGTTTTAATTAAATTGAAATAAAAGAAAAAAAATTCAATGTATCTCTCAGTAAGGTAAATAAAGATGTTATTTTTACGACAAAAAAAAAAAAAAAAAAAAAAAAAAAAAAAAATAAACGACAGCTCTGTAGAATTTAATATTTATAATGTAATATAAATAATGTGCATACTTTTGCGCAGCAATGAGATCCGAGCGCGTTTTAGTAAGCTCTTCAGAAATAGCTTGTTTGGCTTGAATCTCGCTCTGAAGGGAGCTCTGTAAATTCAATAACTCCATTTTATCAAGTTTTTGAGATCTGCGGTTCCTCCAATTTTTATCAGACATAGTTGAAGTGCTTCCGACGCCACCAACGCCGCCAGAGTGTTTAAGGAATTCGAGTTCCTCGGTCATTTTGGTAGCAAGAGCCTGCAAATATCCTCTGGCGTCTTTTTCATCGGAGACCCACTGAATAATTTCAGTAATCTGTGCCTCCCACTGGGCGATGGCTTCCTTTTTATTTCTGAGCTCCTCGTACTCCTCTTCAAGCTGTCTTCTCTCTCCCTGAATCCTATTAACGCTGTCAGTCATAGAATTCAGCTCGAGTATTAATTTTTTATTTTCCTCAGCGAGCATTATTTTCTCCCTTTCATGACGTCTGCTTAATTCACTTATCGTCTCCTCGCTGTCTGTAATATTTTCAAGTCTCGCGGCATCCAATTTATCTTTTGTTACCTGAACTTCTCGTTCAAGTAACTCACGTCTGCTCTCGGCCTCATGCAGTTGTTCTTGAAGGCTACGTATCTCAGTGTTGTACCGACTCTGCTGCTGACTCAAATTCTCGTTGTATTGAATTTCAAGCTGCTCGACTTCGGATTTAAGCCGATTTATTTCCTGCGTAGCAAGTGCATGATTAGCACTAGCGTCATTACCAACAGACCGTTGACGTATTTTTTCCGTTTCCTCTTGCATCTGTTTACAATACTCCTCACTTCTTTCCCGTAATTTCCTCTCTTTGCTGGTTTCCGCCATGGCTTCCTCAACGCGATTTTCCAGCTCGCGCCGTAATTTTTCCGCTTTCCGGATGTCGTGTCTTAGGCTATCAACTTTTTGCATAACGACCTCCAACTCTTCCTCCTTATCACGCACTTGCCGGGATAATTTTTGCTTCTGCTGTCTCAACTCAGATAATTTATCGGTAACCTCAGTGTACTCGGCCATGGCGAGCTTTCGTTGTGTCAACGCGTCCTTTAATTCCTTATCCTGAAGCTTTAATTTCTCCTGAGTATCCAATTTTTCTTTTGTAGCCTCCTCCTTCTCGGCACGCAATACTCTAATCAATTTTTCAAGCTCCTGTATTTTGCCTACATCTCCACCGTTATCTTTGCTCCTTAAATCACGCTGCGCAGCACTGCTATTCGTTTCCAGTGACTTTAATTGTGATTCGAGCTCGCAATTCCGCTTTGTCAGAGTATTTATTTCGTCTTGAAGCTTCCTCGTCGCGGTATTAGAGTCCGGAGAGACTGTTGGCGGAGTAGTAGTTGTTCCAACTGCCAATTGGTTCTTCAGATCCGCCATTGACTGGAGAAGCCGGCTATTTTCTTCCTCGAGGACCTCGATGCTCTTGTCCTTTCGCGGGGGCAACACTGTCAGCGAGCCCAGGTCAGATATACAGCTCCCCTGGGTGAAACTGAACCCAATGAACGGCAAGTGCAAGGCCGAGAAAGCCGAGTTAGCCGACGGAGGCACCGCGTCCGAGCTACGAACGTCGTTGTCGTCGACGTCGAAGTTTGACGTGTCTGTCGGCGAGGAAACTTCAGGAATGTAAGGCGCTGTACTGTCCCTAAGAGTGTCCCAGTTGACTCCGTTAAACCAAGGGTGTTTTTTGAAATCCTCAATTCCGTTTTGACCCAATCTAAACTCCGAACTGCAAATCAATTTTCGCATCAGATCCTTGGCTTCGTCGGACACGTCGTAGGTGTCATCCGTTGGGAAATCAAAACAATTCTTATGGTTCATTATTCTTCCATAAGTTTCGACTAGAGATTCTGCGTAAAACGGCGTCTCGCCGTACAACATTTCGTACATACAAACTCCCAACGACCACCAATCACACTCTGGCCCGTATCTGCCTTGTCCATCTTCCATTGCCTGAATAAATATTATAATATTAATTTTATCAAATTAATGACTTTTGTTAAATTGCACTGTACTTTTTTAATTATTGATATTTTTAAAGATATAAGCTCATCCCGATGTTACACTCATCAAGAGCTTTCATTTGAGTACCCACATGCATTTTTCATATATTTTATATATTTATATATACTATATATATATATATATATATGTATATATGAAAAATATATGAAAAATTGATGTGGGTACTCAAATGAAAGGTCTTGATGAATGTAACATCGGGATGAGCTTATATATTTTTAAAAATTTCAATAATTCACAAGATATCTGTTAAATTGCACTGTACTTTCTTAAATATTGATGTTTTTAAATATATAAGCTCATCCCGATGTTGTACTCGTCAAGAGCTTTCATTTGAGTACCCACATGCATTTTTGATATATTTTTTATATATACATATATTTAATATATATAAATATATAAAATATATGAAAAATTGATGTGGGTATTCAAATGAAAGGTCTTGATGAATGTAACATCAGGATGAGCTTATATCATTAAAAATGTCAATAGTTCATGAGATACAAGGTCATTTCTTAATTATGTATCGAGAGATAGAGCAAATTTTGCTTATTCTCTTAATAATATAGATAATAATAAATTACCCTGAGAATTTCCGGTGATATATAATCGGGTGTGCCAACAGCGACGTTGCTCTGAACGGTACCGTCCTCAAACAATCTGAGGCAAGAGCCAAAGTCAGCTAAACGAATATGCCCATTAGCATCCAATAGAACATTATCCGGTTTAATGTCACGATGAACATAACGCAGATCATGTATCGATCCAATAGCGAGTACCATTTCAGCGATATAGAACCGGGCCATATCTTCGGGCAACCTGTCCTCAAATTTGCTAAGCAAAGTGAGTAAATCACCACCGCAGTAATAATCCATCACCAAGTACTGTACAAAAGAATTATATTTGTTAAAGTCTCTGATAAGGGGATTCATTTTTTATGAGCGAGATAAAATTTATTTACCAGATTGTTGTCGTCTTGAAAGGCATAGTGAAGGTTGGTAATCCACCGACGATCGCCGTACACCAAAACGTCTCGTTCTTCTCTAAAGCAAGCCGTCTCTGCGCGCTTCAACATCTCCCATTTGTTCAGTATCTTCATAGCAAATACTTTATCGGATTCACGCATTTTTACAACACATACTTCTCCAAACGCTCCACGGCCTATTACTTTTATTATTTCAAAATCTTCCCGGCATAGTTGTAAACTTTTGATACACGCAGCCACCGGTTTTACTGTTATAAATTTAAATATAATAAAAAGTTTGTTATCAATAAATTACAATTAAAATTAAAAGTTGGTCTTACCGAATTCAATAAAGTCTGAGACTGTTTTTTCACGGCGTAGCGATGAATTACAGCATTCATCATAGAGAATCAATAAAACATCAATAAGCGTTTCAATTGAAAATGTATGACCTATTTTTCCACCTTGAACCGGACCACTGATGAATAAATTCTCCAATTGACGAAGTCTTCCCGCGACACCTAAATAAAAATTAATAGTATTTATTTAATTTAAAATTACAATAATTAATTATTATAATTCTAAAGTTAGCCGAAATTATTAATTTTTTTAATCATTAAATTAGAACTGAATAATATTTTTAAAAAATTGAACTCATAATTTTTAAAATGAATTTTTTTTTTTAATTTTTTCAATAAAAAAAAATTTTTAAAATTTTTAGATGTCGCCTAACTTAATTTTGATTAAATTATTTATTAATTGATACTTACCCCCGGACACGATGTCCATGGGGAAGGAATGTTCCGTTGGATTAGACATGATTTGAGCTTTTATCCTGTTAGATCCTTTATCCGGATCCTTGGTTGATGCCATTATCGTCCTGGCTGTTTATCTCCGTATACAGCCACATAACTGGACAACTGCCCTAAAAAGCAACAACAATGTAACTCATTATTGTCCTAGAAATAAAAATGAAAACAAGTTAAGTACAAGTTGTACTAAATATACATTTATAATATATATGGCTATAACAAATCGCTAGCGTTCCATGTAAATAACAACTAGCGCAACTCGATTAAGTATTTAATTATTAAAACTAAAAATAATATTAAATACCCAAGCGATTATTTTAATTTCAAGGCAATCCATTATTATTATTATTATTATTAATAATTATAATTATAATATATTAATAAATAATCAACAGCTAATTAAACTATTGTAAAATGGGTGTCTCATTAGACCAAATGGGCGAAGCCACATCAATATTACGTAACACAACATAAGCTTAAATATATATTTTATAAAAATACACACAACTCTAGCATGTTTCTTGACAATATGAACACCTTTGTAAAAGTAAAAGTACACATACATATCATATCACTTTGACAAATAATAAAATTAAATACTCCGATTATATTATTTCACAATAATAATATTAAGATTTATGAAAAAATTTCAATAAAACAATTATAAAAAAAAAAATTTCACTTGTAAAAAATTTGAAAAACTTTAAGTGCAATTTTTTATAAATATCTTTTTAGTTGTAATTTAATTAATAAAAAAAAATTTTTAGACGTCTGCTAACTTGAATATCATTAATATTTAAATAAAAATTGGACAATTAATAATTATAATTTTATAAAATAGTTTAGTTTGACAAAGCAACATATTATAGCTGAGAGTATTGACTACGTAGATAGGATATTAAAGAGAGAGCACAACACGTTGTAATGATTAAAATAAATTACCACATCACTATTTAAACACTCTTACTCTTACTGATTGGATTAATCTTTAACAAAACCTATTACAAATGTCATTGTACTTAAATATACAGGCACCAGCTATTCAAAATAAAAATAATAAGTTTTAATAAAAAAAACATTGATGAATATATTTTTAACATCTATTCACGGATACCAAGTAGTTTCTATTTACAGCTTAACCTTATCTGCGACAATGCACTTGGGTATTGCTTTTTATTTAATAATAATAATAACCACTGTAATAATAACTAATTTAACGCTAAATATGTTATCCGTGCTCTTCATTTTTTACCTCACTATTATTTATCCATTGATTATTATTATTGCTGTTACTATTACTGTGATTATTATTATTACTACTACTACTAGCACTCCAAGTTTTATATTTAAGAATAAGAATAAACTGTTTGGTTTTTGTCAATACTGTACTTGATTTAAGTAATTATTGTATTTAATTATTTACCCAAGGTTTTTAAACTGTAATTAACAGTTTAGTTGGTTATTTAAATCGCACCGTTTAATTATCACAAAACATTGTACGCCACCACCTCCAAGACCCTGGCTATTTGGTTGACCCCCTGGCAAGCACCAGGATCCATGGAAAAAAATATGGCAGTTCTACGTCATACAATATTATACCTATACGTATATATACAGATGTGGGTTAATAAAATACGACATTAGCGCCATTTATATATTTTAATCTATACTCACAATAAACTTCCCCGTTTAATTATTCCTTCATTAATTTATTAATTATTCAAGTCTTGACTCGACAAAAAATTCTCCATTTTTGATCTGTCATAAAATCGACTTTTTTTTTTTTTTTTTTTAATAATAATAACAATAATTATTATTTTTTTGACAGGTAAAGAAAATTACCGGCAATGCAGGTCACCATCTACACACACAGTGTAACAGTGTAACAGTGTAGTCTTCTTTACTAACTGAGCAATTGGAAAGTATATAAATAATAATAACATATGGTGGGGTTAGGATTGCTCCATGCAACACTCGTGATTGATATATTTTTGTTGATAAATTTTGAGTTAATGAAAATAAAAGTGTTTATCGCAATTGCGTGTGTGTCTTTGACGACAAGTGGGAAGAAATCACCGAGCCAATTAATTATAGATTCAAATAATAAATGTGAATGTGAAAAATTATTTTATGGCAACACTTTGTCACTTAATGGTTGTTGGGGGTTGACCAGATGACATTAAAATTTTACAGCTGTCACTTCACTATTTATTTAACAGAAAAATGTATTTTAAAAAATTGCATTTTTTATTTTTTTAAATTTCTTCATGTCAGTTTTTTTTTTTTTTGTCATAATTTATTTGTTAGAAAATTATCAAATATCTGCTGAATTAATTTGATGTTCAGTGAAATAAAAATAAATACTAGCAGCTCAATTATTGTAGATATAAAATATAATATAATAGGTTTAATTACAGATTTATATTGATGATGATAATAATAATAATGTAACTGAAGAGCGTTGTTTATGTTAACGATTCCCAGCGCAGACTGGGTGTTGATCCTGATATTGACGTTAACATTGACGCAATGTTTGTGGTAACATAAAGCGCTAAAAACTTGTGTCAACAACAGAGGATGATATGTATCACATTTTTATCAGTGGATACCGCCTGGTGGAGGCAGACCATGGCAAATCATTTTATGTTTATACTATTGAAGTGACGGATACTGATACCACTGCTAAATATACTATTGAGAGGCGATATAGTGCCTTCAACGCGCTGCACAGACGAGTATGTATTACGTTATTAAAATTAGCTGACGTTTAATCATTTTTATTAATTTAATTAGGAGTAAAAAAATATTTTTTAAAAATTGCACACATATTTTTTTAAATAAGAATTCAATGATAAATATATTTGTTTTTTCAGTTGAAGAAAATAAATGATACGGTACCATTTCCTCCAAAACGAGTCCGGAATTCTCAGCCCAAAGTATTAGAACAGAGGCGGGCTGGCTTGGAGCACTATATTACTAAAATGCTACAATTATCAGAGACTAAACAGCAAGTGCTGGAATTTTTGGGAATCGAAAGCAGTAAAAATTCCAACGCAAGGACAAATTCCAGAAGGTATTTGTCATGAGCAATTAATCTATATTATTAAGAGAATAAGAAAAATTTCCAGGATAGTCATAGAAGGGTCTTGACTTGACTTGAATTTGTGCCTTTTCAAGGTTTCATTTCATTCTTATCGATAGTTATTTTGTTATGATAAGTATTTAGGATGCATTCGATAATTCTCTATCTCTAGTTACATAATTAAGAAATGACCTTGTATCTTGAGAACTATTGACATTTTCAAAGATATAAGCTCATCTCGATGTTACATTCATCAAGATCTTTCATTTGAGTACCCACATCAATTTTTCATATATTTATATATATTATATATATGTATATATGAAAAATATATAAAAAATGCATGTGGTTCACTCAAATGAAAGCTCTTGATAAGTGTAACATCGAGATGAGCTTATATCTTTAAAATTTAGCAGATATCTTGTGAATTATTAACATTTTTGAAGATATAAGCTCATCCTGATGTTACACTCGTCGAGACCTTTCATTTGAGTACCCACATCAATTTTTCATATATTTTATATGTATGTATATATGAAAAATATA